AGTTTGGGCTCCCCGGTGCCCTGGCTCCAGGTCCACGTTGTCGGTCCGCGCGCCGCTTGTGGCGGCCGTTTTCCCAGGCGGGAGGGGGAGTCCCTTCCCCGCCACCAGTGCGGACCTCACCGGGTTCGTCACAGGAGGAAATACACCCAAAGTGTTTATCGTTAAGTATCTGTTCAGTAAAACTATCAGCAAGGAAAGTTTGCTTCCTAATTTAGACCACATTTAAGCAAAATTGTTCTAGATGATGAGGCCACCTCCAGGGAGACCTTTGGGGAAAATGGTGTAATTTGACAGGAGTATTTACACAAAACAAACACACTTCAACATTCTTTGTAAGTAGTGACACCCAAAGTGTTTATCGTTAAGTATCTGTTCAGTAAAACTATCAGCAAGGAAAGTTTGCTTCCTAATTTAGACCACATTTAAGCAAAATTGTTCTAGATGATGAGGCCACCTCCAGGGAGACCTTTGGGGAAAATGGTGTAATTTGACAGGAGTATTTACACAAAACAAACACACTTCAACATTCTTTGTAAGTAGTGCTGTAAAAGCACGTACAGTCGTATCAGATGTCCTGGAAAGGGACTGCACCACTGGGAGAAATACAGGGGAATGTCACAGCTGAGAGGTTTCTTGGAAGGAATTTTGGGGTGGTACGAAACTGAACCTGAGGCCAAAATCTCAGGTTTTGCCTGTGTTTTTATCCAGGACAAATTTGTATGGACTTCAATAAAGTAAGGAATAAAAGTCTGATCTCGGCATGAGCTAATGAGTGTGGTGGAGGTCCAGGTTGGATATTTAGGAAAAACTATTTCAATAGGAGCATGGTGACACACTGGAATGGGTTACATAGGGAAGTGGTGGAATCTCCATCCCTAGAAATTTTAAGTCCCAGCTGGACAAAGCCCTGGCTAGGATGATTTAGTTGGGGTTGGTCCTGCTTTTAGGATCTCCTGAGATCTCTTTCAACCCTAGGATTCTATGACTTCTGACAGCCTTCACCTCCCATTGACTTTATTGGGAGTTGTGGGTATTCAGCACTTCCCAGGAGCATTCAGCACTAAGTGTAAACCAAATAGAGACCGTAGAATCTTGCCCTGAATCACACCATGCAATGGGTTCTCACCAGTCTCTAACTGCGTAGTTGCCTGGACTCTCACATAAGTGACCAGCTCGCATCCTAAATCAAAGGAAGGTTAAAATAATGATATTTATTGCTCTGTAGCCAAGTCTCAGTGTTCTTTGACAACAGGCCAAGTAAAAGTGAGTCAGGACATTTGTCATCATTTTGGAAAGAAGGGGTTCAGACGTGACGTGTCATGTGCTTTATGAAAATATGCCTCGAATATGCCTGAGCTTTATGCCAGACGGCTGATGTAAGGCATCAATGGGAATTTATGATTTACTGAATATGGTTATCTCATTCGGATGCATGGATCATGTTTGTGTCTGAAGTTAGGATTAGTGGCCTGTGTATCTGTATTTCACATTTGCTGCTTTGGGTCACTCTTGCTGCTGACTCGTCAGGGAATGCAATGAAAAAGCCAGATATGGCTTTGATGGCCCAGCAGCTAGTACAATGGATTGCGAATAGGCGTGGTCTTCCTGTGGCCGACCCACATGACTTCTGGCTCATGGATGATGGAGCCAGGTGACCTGCATCTTGGATTGCTGAACTGTTCTGCATGGGTGAGGGAATCAAACAAAGGATTCCCGCTTTATGGGAATTCTGTATGAGGCGGGTGAGTAAAACAATCATGGTCTTCAGCTTGCTTTACCTCTGCCTCTCCTCCCAAAGAGATACTTGAAAATAGGGGTGACTGATGTATGGGGAACATCGGGGCCAGGGGCGGATATAGGGCAGAGCGAGCGGGGCGGCTGCCCCGGGCCCCGCGCTTCAAGAAGCCCCGTGCATGCACCGTGTCAAAGGGTGGGCCCCGCGAAATTCTGCTGCCCTGGGCCCGCAAAACCCTCATCTGCCCCTGATGGGGGCACATATATGTGATCCCCCCCAAACCCAGGAAAGAGCCAGGACAACCCTCCTCCATCCCAGGCCCCACCTCTCCCTGCTCCTGCTCTACACTTGATCCACCCCTGCCCCAGCTCTTCTGTGGACCAGCGCCCCCTAGCAATGACTAATAGGGCCAGGGACCAGCACTGATAGCGAGGATCTGCCCTTCCCCCAGCACTCACCAGCAGTGGAGGGAGAGCAGAGCAATGTGGCCCTAGCTAACTCTGCTCCTCTGGCCATGTTGCTCTTCTTCCCGCTGCTGAGTGTGGGGGTGGTCCCGCCCCTCCCCCAAGCGATGTGCTAGGAGAGCAGAGTGAGCGGGGGCCATGCTGCTCTGCTTTCCAATGCTGCGGAGGGGGAGGGGCAGACCCCTGCTGCAGGCACCAGCCATCCCGCTGTCCCCTGGGACACCTAGAGGCTCTAGTCCCACCAGCCGCTGGCCAGCCACTTGCCCCTTCTGCCCATGGCGTTTAGGGGGCATGTGCCCCCTTGTGTGTCACCTCCTTCTTGAAAACACCTGGAAACAAAAGCATTGTAACTGAGGAGGGGGGAACCGCTGGTCCCAGGCTAAGAGCTACCTGGCCTATGAAGGTCTCTTCCTAGAACAATAAGTAGGGTGAGAAATTATGATTTGTAGTCAGTGTTTAGTGACACTAACTCAGATTGCCTTCTTTGTGTCATTTTCTTCGCAATCAGCTTTGTTCTGTTTGCCACCTCTTTGACCACTTAAAATGCACTTTTTCATAGTTAGAATATAACCCAGTTTATGTGAATTCTAACTTGAGGGGAGGGGGGAGGGCTGTGCATACCTTCCTCCATGTTGAGGAAGGAAGCGAATTTCATATAATTTGGGAGTTGTACCCTAGGGAGGGAAGGGTCTCGGGGTAAAATAGTTATGAAATGGCAGATTCTTGATACCACCTGCTGAGCCAGTGTGTCCTGGAGTCCCAGCCTGGCCCACACAAAGTAAACCAGCTTCTTTGGGGTGGTCATTTCTCAGACAGTCTCTCTGGTAGACACCGCACTGAGCTGACCAAGCACCGTGACTTGTCCCTCCATCACTTTCACGTGGCAGGCACTATGCTAACCTACCAGATCACATTGGCTTGGTCGTGGTCACAGTTCAGCATCCAGCCTGTGTTGGTCCTGTTACCTCGACAGAGGTCTCTATTGTCATTGCTCATGATTGTCCCTCCCGTTCAAAAGAGAGTCCCAACTGCAATGGGACAACTGAGTCCACTGGCCTGGTCAGTGTCTCGAGGACTTGGATTCATCTGTAGGTCACCAGTGTTCTAGCCCTGCACAGTGGCTACCGGAAAATAGCTAACCCAATGAAGCATGGGCGGCGGATGAACCTAGGGCTGGGGGAAGCTAGCCCCCAGCCTGCCCCTTCTGCACAAGGCCCCGCCCCAGCCTTCCCTGGCCCCAGCTGGAGCACAGGGAGGAGGGCTGGTGGCATGTGGTTCCAGCCTGGCACAGAGAAGGGATGAAGGGGGAGCAGCGCATGGCCCCAGCCTTCCCCGGCTCTGGCTAGAGCACTGGTGAGCAGGAAGGGGGGAAGGTTGTGCTCAGCCTGGGGGAGTCACACTGAGCTGGCAGTTTGGGGTATCGTTGCCTTCCCCTGCCTCTTATACCCACCACCCACGGAGTGATGCGCAAGTGCCGGTAACTTTCACAACAGCACCTTGCCTATTGATGTATAAAGCCAGTACAGTTTGCAGGGGCTCTGTCTGCAAACTCGGCAAATCGAAGCCCTTCTGCCATTACCTGTTCTTGAAAGGAAGCCGTCGAACAGCTTCTAAGTAGAGGAACAGAGCAGACTTGTTAACAGGAAGCCTTGCTCTGTGCCAGGAGGTTCACCCTTTAACTAGACGCAACTGGATCGTCTGTCTTGGAGGTGACTAGATTAGCGCTCGGGCTCTCTCCGTTCAGCACCGATCCGTCTGTTTGCCCGAGAGCAGACCTGAGTGTGTGACGGACTCAGCCCCGAGCCTGTTTCCTCACATAACCAGTTAGCAGCCCCTGGCTGAGAGGGCCCAGGCCTGGAGAGCAGGGGGAGCGCAAAATCACCAAGGACGTGCGTTAGTGGCGCTTCGCTGGAGCCTGGGGTTGGGAAAGCAAATCAGATCAGAGCTGGGGAGCCAAGGTGGGATAGATGCCTGGTTCCTACCTGCACTCAGCCTCCGGCAGGTGAGTATGATCAGCCCCTCACTCCAGCGAGCACAGAACTGGATTCAGATGGATTAACCCCCCTGTTAAACACAGTGAAGCTGTGTAGTTAGCATTGCTCCATCGCCTCTGGAGAAAGCAAGGCCTGTTGCTGCGTGAATAATAGATGGACTCTCATCTTGCTAATGGCAGGGAGAGGATGATAATAGAGTGGCAGCTCAGTTAGAATCCCTCCTGCGGGATCTATCCATCCTTGTGGTGCCGATGTCTGACACCTAATGGCAGCTATCTGAGCCTATGCGGGGGAGCTGGCACCTTGTTGGTGATTTAAAATGCCTCTTTGGTGTGTAGCTTCTTCTATAGTCCCATTTCTCTCTCCCTGGGTGGCCCTAATGGGGCTGGAGCTGTCACAGCGACTCATGGACTCATGATTGAAATACAAAGGTCCTGGAAGGTTATTTGGGGTAGAGGTCCTATTGCATTAAAAGGAGGCCGGCCAGTGGCATGCACTGAATGACACTTTGGTCAGTCCAGCTGCAAGCGGTGATACTGGGAGTTGTGGAGAGGCAGAGTGCCCCAGTGTCTTTGGGGTGAGAGGAGCCACTGGGCTCGCTGGGGTTGCCAGCTGTCTTCTCCTGACAGTTTTGCCTTTGCTCTGCAGATGGTCAGAACAGCCTCCAGCGCATCATTGGGGGTAACATCGTGGCGCCTCATTCCTCCAAGTACCTGGTGTCCCTCAAGAGGAAGACAGGCTTCCATTTCTGTGGCGGGTCACTGGTCAGCCGAAGCTGGGTCCTGACGGCAGCTCACTGCAAAACGGAGTAAGGAATGCCAGAGAATCCAGCGCCACTTAACATCGGCGTCCAGAGCACACAGGCAGACGTCTGGGAATCAGACAAGAGACCTGCCTCGGGGGTGCTGGACTTGTGGCAAACATCACAGCTCCAGAGAGTCCTGCCTATAGTTATACACATGTTCCCACCTCAGTTTTCAAAGTTGGTGGCCTATGTTCCCATTGCAGTGTCTAGACAAGGAACCTGGCACCTAAGGGCATGTCTTCACTCGCCGTGCTGGAGATCGATGTTCTCGCATTCGATTTAGCAGGTCTAGTATCGACCCGTAAATCGAATGCTGAGGGCAGCGCCGGCTGGTGCCTGGACTCCTTGCCGTCGTGGAGTAAGAGAAGCTGATGGGAGGGTTTGCTGCCATCGGCCTCCCACTGTGGGGACACCACTGCGCCCTGCTTAGGGCAAACCAACTCCAGCTACGTATTCTACATAGCTGGAGTTGCGTGCCTTAAGCCAACCTTCCAGATCTAGTGTAGACCAGACCTAAGTTTAAGTGCTCAGGCTGAGAACTGGGTCCTTGGTCTGGCACATATCCATGCACAGGCCCCCCAGCCTCACATGCCTGTACCTGCTACACCCACACACGGGTGAGCTGTAATGAGGGATGACTTTTCAAAGGCAGGAAGGTTTGCATCTTCTCTTACCTATCCTAGCCTCTTGGGTCTCACTGACCAGGACCAGAAACTTTTTCAGGTTGTCTCACTAAGGCCGTGATTCAGCAAGGTATTTTGAGTATGTGCTTATGTTCCATTCATGTCAATTCCCAGCTCTGCTCCAGACTCCCCGTGTGATCCTGAGCAAGTCCTCATCTACCTGGCGTCTCAGACCCCCATTATATCTGAAACATATGCTTGAAGTGAAGCCTGTATTTGAACTGCTTTGCTAAATAGGGATGGGACTGTGAATCAGGGCCCTAGAATCATCAGGATTTCCTGACTGTTTAAGACATAGGAACAGCCTTCTTTGGGGGGCAGAGAGGCAGAATCCAGTGCCACTTAACATCAGCGTCCAGAGCACGCAGGCAGATGTCTGGGAATCAGACAAGAGACTGGTTGGGCAGAGAGGGGTTGGCGTTTCTTCTGGGGGAGCCATTACAGCATATGAAAGCAAGAAAGCATATGATATGAAAACAACAAAAATCAGCTCACCAGCATTTTTCCATTTTCATTATAGGTGCAGCCAAAGTTTGGGGCACAAAATCAGTTTTTCTTTCAGCCCACCCAGCTCGCTTGTTCCTTGCTACCGACATTTCACAGTGCTGATGCATTAGCCTCTCTGTGGCTAACCACTGGACTGGGGTTCTCTAGTGATCACAGCAGAGGTCTGGGTTCCCGGCTCTCCCACTTGAATCATTGTCATTATATCTTTACATCTCTCGCTTCCTTTCCTGGTTTACTCATCTGCAAAATGGAAATGATGCAATTTCTTACCCACAGTGCCGCCCACCCACACACTCACGTGTACCTCCAAGCAGTCATATATCCAAATCTACGCACTAGGCAAGCCCATAGCATCTCCCGCACGTGTATCTCCATCACTTCCGTGTTGACACCAAGAGAGTTAAAACGAAGGTGCACAAGATCTCACATGGGAAGTGCAGGGAGGGCTGCATTTTTAAATGTTTTGAGCCCTTTGAGGAACTGCCATTTAAATCATTCCTAGGCGGTGATATTTTTCCCCGCAGTGAAGCCGGGTGACCATGCCCTTTGCTTGTCTCCCGACAGAATTAACCAGATGATGATTGTCGCGGGGGAATATTCCCTCTCCACCTTTGAAGGCACAGAGCAGATCTTCCGGCCCTTGCGGATGGTGGTTCATCCGGACTACAGCTCCACTTCCAAAAACGCAGACATCATGCTGATTAAGGTAACAAGCTTTCCCCAGGCCAAAGTGAGCAGGTGGCTGGAGAGGGAGGTGATGACTACAGATTGTTTGGGCTGTTCACAGCAGCGGAGTGCTCCATTGTGCATGCACGTTCAAGCCATGGAACAGGGCTGGTGGAAATGTGCAGACGGTCAAGGAGAAGAGGAACAAACCGCCAGTGACCTCCTAATAACAACAAATATCTAGCTCTTGTGCACACCTGGCATCTGTAGATCTCAAAGCACTTTACACAAGGAGAGAGGCATTACTGCTCCTGTTTTACAGATGGGGAAACTGAGGCACGGTGCAATGTGACTCACCCAAAGTCACTCTGCAGGCCGGTGGCAGAGGGAGGAAGAGAGCCCATGCTGGAGTGCAAGTCCTGTGTCCCCATCCGCACTGCTGCTGACATAAATGTAGGCTCTGATTGTGAGAGGCACTGAGTGTCTTCATCTCCCTTCTCTCAAACCTGGAAAACATGCAAACTAACCAATCCCTGCCAAGTGGCCTTCTCAAAACAGTGTTGGCAAAGTTACTAGCAACTGGAAATAGGAGGTTGGAATCCCGCAGCCCTTTTGGAGATGCTGTCCTACCCCAACGTAACAATCCCAGTGGCCTAGACTGTTCTGCCCCTATGCACCACAAGTATTTCCTTCCTTCTCCTCAGCACAACTAGGGCTACAGCTCCCTGTGAGGCAGAGGGCCTGGAGTTCTAAAAGAAATGCAATGCATGATGGGATGTGGTTCGTAACTAGTAATCGGGACACAGACGATTGCTCTTTCCAACTCCTGCACTTATGAGGCCATCTACCTCCAAGCCCACTGGAGAGGGGACATTTTGTTCACAGGAGGGGTGTGCATGCTTCTCTGGGATTGTTGCTCTCTGATGCTTTTTCACCCAGAAAGCCAATAGGCCCTAGGGAAGATTAGGCCTCAGGAGAACTGGGTTCTGGTCATAGCTCTTCTTGGGCAGGTCACATCCCTGCTCTGTGCCTCAATTTCCCCATTTGTAAAGTGACACTTCTATGCAAGTGCTAGGTATAAATAAGTTACTGACTATGTTCCCTGTAAGCTGAGTGCTTGGGCGGCCATCCAGGAGAGATTCAAATGATGCACAGCTGATTAACATAGCATCTACAGTGCCCACAGCTGGCAGCATGTGTTTCTGCTGGTGGTGCACATCTGCACATGCTTTGGTGCAGATAACAAAAATTATTCCACACATGGATGGAAAAAACCGGAGGGAAGATTGGTTACTGATCATTGTACATTTCAGCTCTCATGGGGTCTCTTTCACTCTGGGGGCCTATTTACATATTTAACTTAGTGATGAGTCCCAGCCTCTGGTATCTAGGCACTGATTCATTGCCTATGTTGGAGCTATACTCCCTGAGTACCGGGCTCTCCGTCATTGTCAGTCCCCTACCTCTCCTTGGTAAGGAATTGATCAGGTTGAGTGGTAAGGCATCCCCAAAGGGCATGGAGTGGCTTGTACACAGTATCAGGGCCAACCTGCCCTTCCATCCCTGCAAAGAAAAAACATCTAAAAGGTTTCTGCAGAGTATCTTCATGAGTAGGAGCCCAGTTAGCCCCAAAGCCTCTCGGCTTGTGCCATAGGTTTAAACAGTGATGCAAGCTGGTGCACACTGAATTTGCACGTGCAGATGCTGCAACACATTTTAGCCACTGGAGCAGAATATAATCATTCCCGCTTCTAGTTCTGTGCCCCCACACCATGCCGACACGTTCATGGGAGTGAGTGAATGGACACACGTCACTGTTGCATAGACACATGGCACTTCCTGATCCTGTGTGTGCTTTTCACTTGTGTTTTGTTTTTGGAACCAGATCTTGACAATCTCACTGAGCAATGAGGGGAAGCGTTTGCTCCGACGAGGGAGTTGGACCGGTGTTAATGAATCATTTAAAGGCAGGGACAAAATGACTGAATACGCTTCAACAGCTGTTGTATTAAAAAAAAACGCGTTGACAAATGTAGGTCGGTCCATAGGGTGAAAGGCAAAAAAAGAAATCAAAGAGCTGCGGGAATCCAAGCCCAGCCACTGAAAGAAATCCTACAAAATTCCCACTCAGAGCACAAATTCACTGTATCTAGACTTCTAGGCAAATGCTAGGTGCCTCCTGACCAAAAAGGTTTCTCTGATGACTTTTCCCACACAGCAATCCCTTATTGAAAGAGCATTGGCTGTTCAAAATATTCTGCAAGTCAAAGAACCCTAGTACCCAACATAATAGAGACTCATTAAGATTGCATGTCCTTTTCTAATCGAGCAGTTTCAAAAGGAAGCTCCAAGCCAGGGAAGGAAACCAAAGGGGAACTAAATGAAATTCCCAGGATGTATTGCCTTTAAGAAAGGAATGTCTCAGGCTAAGCCGGTATCACTTCCACTTAAACGGCATTCAGACTTGCAAACAGGCTTGCAAAGTGCATTGTGTGCTAATAAGAATGGACTCAAGTTTAAATAACAATGAAAGGCTCCAATTTGTTAAGACTCCCCCCAAGGGAACGTACTGGAGCCTTTCCACTGAAGTAGCAGCAGCTCCGAGGCTGCTGGGATACAATGCCAAGGTTCAGTTCTCTCCGAAAGGCCCCTAGTAGCCTGGCTCTTATTCCCCTAAAACTAAATACTTCCAAAGCATTAGTGTGAACCATTCAGAGAGACTGAAAACCCAGATGGCAGGCTCTTGCCACGAGCAACAGGGAGGGCGTGCAAATGAATATAGCCCTTTGCTTGTGTTCCTGCAGTTGCGTGGCCCTGCTGCAGACAGCGTGTGTGCATGCTAGAGGTGTACAATCCCGTTTAATTAGTTAACCGGATAAATGTTAAGTTTAACCGGTTAACTGATTAAACAGGGGTGGACGGGAGGGGGGAAGGGAAGCTGTTCCAGCCCAGCTGCTCCAGCCCACAGGGCTGCTGGTTCACGGGCTGGGAGTCGGGAGGCTCTGGGGCAGTCCCCCCCATCCCTTCGTCCCCACGAGGCTGCTGGGAGTCAGCAGCCCTCCACCCATGGTGGATCTCGGGTGGAGGACTGCTTCCCGGGTAATGGGTAACTGCTACCCATCAGCATCACCCATTAAGGGGGATGTTTACCAGGTAACTGGTTAACTGGCTACCCATTCACATCCCTAGTGCATGCACACACAGTAGTATATCATACCCAAAGCACTAGAAACGATAGTACTGTCACCACAGAATAGCAAAGGACACTCTACCAGTGTTTCCTATAGGTTGAGCACTTAGGCAGCCCCCCAGGAAAGATTCCGGTGCCACCCAGCTGATTAGCAGTGTCGACAGTGCCCACAGGCAGCAGCATGGGTTTCAACGTTGACTGGTGGTGCACACAAAATTGATCCCACCCATGTGTGGAAAAAGTTAGAGGGAACACTGCTGTGTGCTCAACAGACATGACTTAGAATTGACTTTGAAAGGGTTTTACGGGTTATAGTGGACAAGAAACGCGACATGAGCTCACTCTGTGATACTGTGGCAAATATGCATCCAAGGATGGCATTGGCCTAACTCTGGGGGTCCTGAGTACAAGGTGGGAGGAGAATTTGCATTTCTAGATGCCAATGGTGGCACCAGAACTGGAATATGGGATCCAGTTCCTTAGAATTGACTTTGAAAGGGTTTTACGGGTTATAGTGGACAAGAAACGCGACATGAGCTCACTCTGTGATACTGTGGCAAATATGCATCCAAGGATGGCATTGGCCTAACTCTGGGGGTCCTGAGTACAAGGTGGGAGGAGAATTTGCATTTCTAGATGCCAATGGTGGCACCAGAACTGGAATATGGGATCCAGTTCTGGTGTCCATCTCTGAAAAAGAATGTTGAAAAAATTGGACAGAGTGTAGCAAAAGCGCCACAAAAATGATTTGGGGGCTGAAAAAAACAACCCACCTTACAGTGAAAGACCTAAAGGGATCAGTCTGTTTATTACTGTATCAAAATTCAAGCGGGGGTTTGATTACAGTACATAAGTACCTTCATGGGGAGAAAATACCAATATTCAAATGATTTTTAATCCAGGAAAGAAAGGCATAAAAATAACTACTGATGGCCTGAGGCTGAAGCCAGAGAAATTAAAATTAAAATTAAGGCCCATATTGTTAACACTGGGGAAGATTAATCATTGGAACAAACTGCCAAGGGAGGTAATGGATTCTCCATCCATCTTCTGATGTCTCCAGATCACAAGCTTGCTGGCTTTCTGGAAGATGCTTTAGCCAAAGGCTCAACGCACACAGTCCTACACCCTCAGTCACCTGTTCCTGCCTGTTTCTTCACAGTCAGTAATGACTCTCCCCTTGGTGTCTCCGAACAGCTGAACAGGCCGCTGGTGCATAACGCTTTTGTTTCCATTGTGCCACTTCCCCAGCAAGGAGCGGCCGTGAAGGAGGGCCGCTTCTGCCAAGTCTCTGGCTGGGGTTACACCTCTCCCATGGGCGGGAGGACTTCAGACACTCTCCGCAGCGTGCACCTTCCGATCATCTCTGCCGGGAAGTGTAACAGCACAGCTTCCTACGCGGGATACATCACCAAGAACATGATCTGCGCTGGGTTCAACACAGGGGGCAAAGATGCCTGCCAGGTACAGCTGCCCTCCTTAATTCTGCAGAGGAAGCTGCATATTCCAACCTCTCCTCTGGGGACAGCTAGTGTGTCCTGCTAGTGAGCCAGTAGTTAGGCACTCACTGGCAGTTGGGTCTTTAGATTGCCTGGGTCCCATTAAAAAGAATCCATCCATCCTGTGATGTGTCACTGCCCCCCGCCACTCCCACCCCCATCTGGGGGATGCAACTCAGTATACTAGGGTTCCACTGAGCCCTGCTCTGTTCCACCAGCCTGGATGTCCTCACCCTGTCCTGTTGAGCCAGGCGCTTGAATCTCCTCTTGTTACCCGCACAAATTTCTCGATCCCTTCCACACTGTACGGAAACACACCTTTACCCAGTTCCTAGGGCTCAAGGTGCAACCCTCTTCATTTACACACCCACCCTTACCCAATTCCTAGGGCTCAGGGCGCATCTTCCTGCGGGTTTTACAAGATCTTCAGCCACTGAAAGAGCCTCACACTGTAATGTCCTTATCCTCTATTTATTGACAATTCCCAAACAAGCAGAATACACATACAAAGCACACAGTGTCATGCTCATCAATCCAGGTGCAGGCAGACTTCCCCTGTTGGCCAGGCAATATCAGTCTCTCTGGTCTTAGGCTGTCTCGTAGGTGAGTTCTTCTTTTCCAGGTTTTCCCCTTTTTCTTGGTGTTTCTGGTCTTCTTCCAGCCTTTTCTTCTTTCCTTCTGCTTCTGTTACTTCCCATCTTCTTCCTCCTGGTCTCTTCTTGGACCCCAGTTTATATAATGAAACCTGAGTCCTGCTTAGCTATACTTTAACCAATTATTTTAGTATAATTTTACTAACCAATCAGAACAAAATTATCTAACCAATCATACCCCACCACCTTAATTGACTTACACCTAGCAAAATTCATTATACAGCAGACAGAAACAGTTACAAACCAGACAGAGATCACAAATCAAACAATAGGAAAGTGTAATGAGTGACAATGATCATAGAATGAGGATTCCCAACATTCTCTATTGATAAGCAGTTTCTTGCCAGACAGAATGGTGTGACTTAAGTTTTCTTTACCCATCTTGAGATCTGTTTCTTTATCTGGTGACAGTGGGAGCAGGGAGCGGGGGCTATCAGGACAAAGTCCTCTCCTCACAGCCTGGTATAACACTTTTTTATACAATTTAGATGGAATGTATGTGACTCCAGGCCTTACAACTAATGTCTGCTGCTCTTCAGTCTGGCTGCAGAGCAAGGCTTTGGTTCAGGCCTAGCACAGGCCATTCACCTCCTCCTTCAATGTGGAGGAAGGTGTGCACAGCTTTCTACCCTGCTCCCAGTTAGGAGTTCCACAAACAAGGTTTTAGAGAAAATAAAACAAGTTTATTAACTACAAAAGATAGATTTTAATTGAATTTAAGGAAGCATGGAGTAAAGCAGATCACCAAGAAAATAAAACAGACACACAAACCACACTTAATACACTAAAGAAACTGGCTACAAGTAGTAATTTCTCACCCTAAATGTTATTTTAAGCTTTTCTTTTACTGGCCAGACACCTTTTCCAGCCTGAGTCCAGTCCTTTCTTCCCCTGCTCAGCCCTAGGACAGCAGTTATCTTGGGCAGGAATTCCACAAAGAAAAGAAGGGATCCTGATTATCTCACTCCCCAGCCTTAAATAGGATTTAAAAATTACAGGGGGGAGGGGGATCC